TATTAATTGCAAAATTGATTAAAAATCAGTTATATAAGATATAATTATATTTTTAAACCTATAATTTCGTAATTTTCTTTAAAAATTTTATTTATTAACTGAAGATAAGTTGCTTTATAACACTAAATATGCTTAATTTTTTACAATGATGCACAAAATATTGCGCAATGAAAATCACAGTCGGCCCCCTTAAAAAATACTTTAAAAAAAAGTTAATTAACTGAAGATAAAAAATTTTTTACAGTGATTAAAAAAAAGTTATTACAATTTTTCGTTACTTAATTCAAGTGTGTGTAACTTTAAAAAATTAGATACCCAGTCATATGGCATTTGGTACCCTAGCAACTGCCAAGGTGTTAGACATCATTCAAGTTTTCAATATAATCAAAAGAGCCCCACCCTTTTTCCCTACCCTAGGGCCATAAAATCCTTTGGAGTATATTATTGTACCTTCAAAGAATCATCTTGTTCCTTACTCTTCTCATTAAACCTGCATTTTAAAATTGTAATTTTCAGATACCCAATATTCAAGTGCCTGGCATTTGGTACCCTAGCAGTTTTGCATGTTAGGTGTAGACAGTGATTATGTTTTAAATTCAAATAGGAGCAGAGAAGAAGATTTTCAAAGAATTCATGTATTTTCACTATATAATCTATAGAGCCCCAATTGATCAATGCTGATTACAATCATGCAAACAGTTTAACTGTTGATGTCAAAGTTTTTTAAAGATTGCATTAATTTTAGTGGTTTTTGCCCCACCCCCCAATGAAATGGTGCTCAGTAGCAATTCAGAGTGATTTTTCATTACTTGAATTCAAGTGTGTGTAACTTAGATACCCAGTCATATTTTGGTACTAGCAACTGCCATGGTAGGTGTAGACAGTACAAGTCCCTGGAGTATATTGTACTTCTGTCACTCTTCTCATTAAACCTGCATTTTAAAATTGTAAAGATACCAATTTTGCATTCAAGTGCCTCAGAAGTTTTAATGTTCAAATTGATTATGTTTTAAATTCAATATTAGCATGATTAGTGTAATTCTCTAACTAATGATTCACTTCTGTCAGTCAACACGACAAAACCGAACGCGAAAAAATGCACTTATGAGCAATGACTGAGCGGTTTCTACATACAAACCCTCACACTATGATTCAATGATCAGTACAATAACATATAACTGTAGTTTAAAATAAAAACAAGGCCCATGGGCCTTATAGGTCACCTGAGCATTATGCGATGCGACAACTTTCATGATTGAATTTGCTTCATGTTTTAAGCTAGATGCTATGGCATTCACAATTTTGAAAGAGGTACCATTGCTCATCATAACTATTCACCACTTGTACTATTCTTGCACTTCATAAGGTCAATCTGAGGTCAGGGGTAAAACAACCAGTGCTGCAGTGTAAACAATGCTAGACAGAGTATGTGAATCCCTGGTATTAGACTCAATTAGATAATTTAGGCATATTATTTCATTTAGATAAATTGATTATTTCAGTCACTACTTACTTATTTGAGAAGAAAATAATAAATAATCAGGGTTTTAAGACAGGAAACATTGAAGTATATCCCGTTTCGAATTTGCTCTGTGTTCTATTGTCTACGTGCAAAAGGTTTAAAAGCCTGGTGTATGTGATATATTATGTCAGTTCAGGTTGTTTTTTCTTGTAAGGAGATATATATTCAATACAAGTTCAACAGTTACGTGTATTTAAATTTTCACAGTTTACAATTTAAGATGCTACTCCATTTGAAGCTGTGCTCAATCAGGGCTTTTTTTCTGAAAACATAGCTCTGTCATTTGAACCATGTTTCAACAGCAACAGGACTGAATGCAATATTACCACCCAATGTAAAGGTATCAGTGTTTTGTCAGTTCTTTAATTTAATTGTTTTGACATTACTCTGCTGCTGTTAATTTGCTCAAAGCACTCAATGTAATCAATGGTTTGAGTTGAAACAGCAGAGGAAAGTACAGTATGCTTACATTGGACTAACTGTGTGCTGTGAAAAAATTATCAACATGTACAGTTTGTACTTTTAATTACCTATGCTTTAATTGTAGCATATGAAGAACAGCATGCTGTTTCATGGTTTTTTTTTTAATTGGAGAGATCTTTAGTTCATAATTACATTTACATGTAGAATGTTTATAGTACATGTATAAATATATACATTTTTACAGTAGGCCCCTATGCAGTATGTTATTATCAATTTCAGTTAAAGTGTGGAGTCACAACCTACGATGAAGGCTGCACTGAAGGTAAATAGTACACGCCTCCTAGCTGCAAGCTTTATGACTGAAACCCAAATCCCTGATTGGTTGCTCTTGCAGCAGACTATTTCCTTGTCAATGTTGATAATATGAGTTGACAAGTCACACAGTGGAGCGTGAATTACTTACGCTAAATGCACGTGTCGAAAAAGATTGTGACGGAATGCAAAACTGCTTACTTAACTGAAATTAATAATAAATGTGGGTTATGTTTAAGATCAACAGAGGGAGATGAGGATTCCAACTTTCTCTGCGAGTGTAATTGTGGATGTAACAATGAATCAGATGTAGAAAACTTCGTTTTATAGTAAAACTTTTATACCTCACATTGTTTTAGAGCTATTGTAAAAATAAATTTTTGGACATGTAACGATGTTGACCTTTGAAAAAAGATTTAAAGTCAGACATCCACTGGAGGTTTCTGAAAATCAATTGTTTAGGGGGACCGTTTTTTTTCTCCTAAAGTTTTGAAATATGAAAATCTCCCAAAAAATTTTTGACTTAATACAAAAGGTGTTTAATAAATTGGATTGAATGGATTCATGAAAGGAAATATGAGAGAAGTTATGGACTTTATCTCGTCCGTTGATGTATTGTAGAACCATATTACAAAAGGTGTTGTGGTTCTACAAAACATAAAAGAACATGATAAAGTCCATAATATTTTCATTTCCTATTGTAAATCATTCAATCCAATTTTAAACAAAAAATATCACATGGGAAGAATCAGAATCATAGATTTAAAGCAAGTTTTAAATAATATAAATTAAAATGTAATTCATTCATTTTCATTAATTTAATTATTTAATTTAAATATTAATTAAATCAATATACAATTGAGGTCAAAGTTCTCTGTGTAATTGTCACATTTCAAATGGAAAAAAAAAGCTACCGGTAGACAATCTTCAACATAATAATTATCCCTTCAATATTCATGTGATGTAATACTTGTAGTCATTTTTATAAAACAGAAACAGGTACATGTAATAGTATTTTTCACATGATTAACGTTTGATCGGTTGATGGTGTGTATGTCATTGTGTATTTTGCATAACTTTTCAACTCCAATTTTTAAACCCCCTGCTTGAAAAGTGGGAGAGTATACTGTAATCGGTTTGCCCGTCTGTCTATTACGCTTTGGGGTACCCATCTCTTATCCACAACTCCTCTTACACCACTGAGTGAAATTTAATGAAACTTTCATAGAATATTTATTACATATTGTCATTGTATACCCCCTTTTTTACTTTTTGATCCGACACACATTTAGGGTTTCCCAGCCACAGCAAAACATGGACTAGCTTTGCCATTATAACTACATGTATATAGGAGGCGGAGGGTATCACTGAGTGAGCTCATCGCTCACAGTACCTCTAGTTTTTTTTTTAAGACGATATAACTATTTGTCTTTTTTGTTATTTATAATAAAAGATAACAATATTTTACTCATCTCATCTGGAAATACATATACAATAAAACATGCATGTTTATAACAAAGACAGTGCCAGGAACAGACAATTTTGCTATGTTTTAACCATAATTTTTTTTATATCTGCCAAGTTGTATATTTTAAGAGGGAGAATGAAAATCACTTCACTTTAAGCTTCAATTCATTATTCCTCTCGCAGATTGAATTGTCTAGTAATGCCATGCTTTTTCTTCACACCTTAGCAATCCAGATTAAATCATTAGGTCACCTGAGTTTAACTAATAAAAGGGTGACCTGTTGACGAAAAAGATCAAAATAATGATCAACATAACATTTTGATCAGAAAATGCAGGTTTGTCATACACTCTAAATCTGATCAATCTGAAATTTCGAACACAGTACCCAATCTATTGAGTAGTATTACTGATAATACCCTTTGGACAAGTGCCCTGTAGACAACAGACAAACTTCAATCAGTATGCATTTGTAAATATCTAGGTCATTGTCTGCAATGTCAACTCAAAATACCCACAACTCTTAAATACACTCACTGGACGGTTTATACCAGAACTGTACAACTGAATATACACAGCTCAATGAAAACCTTGCTTTATGACTGTAGATCTATATATACTACAACTTACCAGTTAATGATACCATGTCTTATCAGTAGTGCCATGCAATTACCTACAGACTGATTTTCTTTAATTATTTATGATGTTTAAAAAATGTCTCTAAGTATTTTAATTTGTTTAGCTTACCGTTACTTTACTTGATGCTGTTTACTTTGGTTTCACTTTAACTTCATTGGAGACACAACACAATTTAGACTCGCAAAAACACACAGAAAACAAATATAAATCCAAAATGAAATGAAAATAATAGAGATGAGAATAAATGAATCCAATAAATCCAAATAGAAATAAATTAAAGTCACAAAATGAAAACACACTCAGTAATCACAGTTGACACCACACTGTTTACATCCAACAACGTTTCAGGTTTGCAGTTGTAGGTGAAATCGTACACAAAATATTCGACAAGGCAATAGTTAGGCCTAGAAAAAAAAATATGTTTGTTTCCGCTTTCAGGCTGAAAAAATATAGGGTAGGTAGGTAGGTATGCAAATTTTTTTTTTTTTTAAAACTTAGAAAATTTTTTTTTACTTCTTTAATCAAAACTTGTATAGAAGTAACATTAATGACAAAAGAAATGGTGTTTTCAAGCATTTCTGTTACTTAAACTTATAATAGAAAGGTGACTCAAACTTCTTTCTATCTTAAAAAGCATGCAAAGTTGGAGACTATAACTCCCTGGGTGAAATCTTGCACATCATGGAACAAAAGCATTAAAAAAAAAATTAGGGTTGGCACTATAAATTAGGGTCGGTCGGGAAAGCGGAAGCAAACATATTTTTTTTTCTAGGCCTCATGTTCGTTCTTCGTTGTAAATTGAATCACATCACTGGTAGGAAATTTTCATAGTCATCGGACTGTCTGAGTCCATATAAAAGCGAAAATCCAAATGAAAATAGTGTTGATTGTAAATCTATAAAGCTTGGATCCACCTCAGTCTATGCTTGCTTTCACTTCAGGAAGTAACTATTTCCCGGGTTTTTCCATTCTTGAACCAAGATCCGCCAACAGGTGCGCGTCACTCAGGTGTAACGAGTAGTTCTCACTATTCACCAATAATGCTCACCAATAATTAATTGAATAGCACTGTTTAAATCCCATGACGAATAAAAATAGCACACTGAACACTGGTTTGTCAGAAATTCCATCACAAACTGGGAAGCTTCAAATGCAAACCTCTGTTGCTAAGTGAAATATAACAACGCAGTTTTGAAAGTTCAGCAGGTTATATTGTATGATTTCAAATCCTGTCATACATGATAAATATGATATTCATGATAAGGCCCTGCAAAACAATGTACAAAACATCAGCAATGTATATATATAATAATAAAGTGTTCATATTATAATAAAACACTAATCATAAAATAGTCTCTCACTGATTAATATGTATTTAAATGCATAAACTCAATATCGTTATAGATTTAACACTCATAAATTTAATTCATAAAGTGATCTCCACTGAACCTATTTAATTATGAAAGTTTAGTGATAAAATAAAAAATTATTTACACTTAAATTTACAAAATAATAGTATTTACCAAAATTATGGAATATAGGCTCTCCAAATTATCAGGTAATTTTACTAAGTGCTGTGCTATACTAAAAGAATTAAACATGCAAGTTTTTAACTACTGGAAATATAGAAATGCAGAAGTCTCATCCTGAACAATGCTCAAACTTCAAAGACAAGAGGCCCATGGGCCACATCGCTCACCTGAGTAGCATTAGTGATGCCGTTCTTTACCCAATTTCCCCATTCTAATACCTAGTGTGGCCTTGTTCCCCCCCCCTTTCCCCGGGGGTCATGATTTTAACAGTTTAGAATCTATACTACCCAAGAATGCTTCCACATAAGTTTCAGCTTTCCTGGCCAAGTGGTTCTTGTCATGAGAAGATTTTTAAAGATTGTTCATATAAATTTCTATGTTAATCTTGGATTCTCTATTGTGGCCCTGTCCAACCCCAGGGGGTCATGAATTGTAAATTTAGAATCTACACTACCCCAGGATGCTTCCACATAAGTTTCAGCTTTCCTGGCCCAAAGGTTCTTGAGAAGAAAATTTTTAAAGTTTGGTCCTATATATTTCTATGTTAAACTTGGATTCCTTATTTTGGCCCCACTCAACCCCTAGGGGTCATGATTTTAATAATTTAGAATCTACACTACCCCAGGATGCTTCCACATAAGTTTCAGCTTTTCCTGGCCCAGTGGTTTTTGAGATGAAGATTTTAAAAATTTGTTCCCATATATTTCTATATTAAACTTGGATTCTCTATTATGGCCCCGCCTAACCCCTGGGGGTCATGATTTTAACAGTCTAGAATCTACACTACCCCAGGATGCTTCCACATAAGTTTCAGCTTTCCTGTGGCCCAGTGGTTCTTGAGAAGAAGATTTTTAAAGTTTGTTCCTATATATTTCTATGTAAAACTTGGATTCCCTATTGTGGCCCCGCCCAACCCCTGGGGGAATGATTTTAACAATTTAGAATCTACACTACCCTAGGATGCTTCCACATAAGTTTCAGCTTTTCTGACCCAATGGTTCCTGAGAAGATTTTTTAATGACCCCACCCTATTTTTGTATTTTCTTGATTATCTCCCCTTGTGAGGGGCCTTGGCCCTTTATGTTAACAATTTAAAATCTCCTTTAGCTAAGGATGCTTTGTACCAGGTTTGGTTAAAATTGGCCCAGCGGTTCTTGAGTAGAAGTCAAAAATGTGAAAAGTTAACAGACGGACGAAAAGTTAACAGACGGACGGACGGACAGACGCCGGACGCATTACTATCGCATTCCGACCAGTAGAGCTAAAAAACCAAAAAACTACGGGAAAAATAAGAACTTTGTCAATGTTCTATAATACATTATTGATTAAATTTCTTCTATTAATCAGTATGGATTGTATTATCATTATCAATACTATATGACTGCCGTCATGAGAAAAGGGCCCTAATATCTTTTGACGTCACAATGCTCAGAAAACGACGTCAAAGTTGCGTTATTGTAAACACGGAAGTAATTTTGTTGACTGCATTTTGTAAGCAAGAAATAAAATAAAAGCATAACAAACATTTGTTTAAAAGGTATATAATATTATTACAATTTAGTACGTAAATTTATTCTTATTCATAATTTTGTTTAAGTATTTAGCTTGATGTTGATATACGGGGCATTGGACATGCACATTGCTAGCCATTGAGCAGCGATTAAAACGATGTCTATGCATTATTAAATTAAAGATGCTGCATATTTGTTATCTTAAAAATTTACAAATACTTGATTTTTATTTCATGTTAATTGAAAAAAAATCCACCCTACTCCTCAATACTCATTGGGAATACTAGCGCTCCCTGTCTGTTTTATGAAAGGAATTATTATTACTTTTATAGGTCTCGAGTATATTAATATTTTAGAATAATTTCTACCTAACACACATTGAAAACAAAAATGAAGATATATAAAAAGAGTTTTAAAAAATTGATTTTTTTTTTTTTTTAAATCTGTATTTTGTCCAATATCAAAAGATTTATATCACTGCCCCCAACTGGTAGATGATGAAATAAACAATTAAAGGTTGTATTGTCCCCTTTGTAACCCTTATGTGTCCAGTGGCAAGAAGCCTGTTAGGAGAGCATTAAAAAAGAAGCAAAAATTAATGTAGAAAAGTCAATAATGTATCCAAAATATAATTTTATTTTTATTTTTATTTCCTCCTCCTATGGGACTTTTTCATTCTGATGTTTGTAAACCTAAAAATAAAAAAATGCTGGCCTAAGCATGGATTAATATATATGTACACATATACAAAGGTTTTGTGAAATTGGCTAGTTTCTTCGTTTAATTAAATCAACTGTAGTGGTTATTGCTGTTTATTTATTGACCTTTTACCAACTGCTACTTCTTGGGCAAACTGGAATAAGAGGCCACCTGTCTTAAGTGGCTAGTTTCTGGACTTCCCAAAGCTTAAAACAAGTTTTACTGTACTTTTTCACCTTTTACCAATATAAGAAAGTAGTTCACAGTACATGACAATTATGCTATAAATAAATTTCGATGAATTTTAATTAGTAACTCGGAATTTTTGTATGTGTTATAAATAAACATTTGCTTCTGTATTCCTTTGTAGAGTTCAGATACCACTGAAAGTGAACATCATTGGATCTTTGATGATCTAGGCCACTCTATTGTTACAGCAACACCAGCAGGCGTTGGACATTCATAAAGTTGAAAGAACAAACCTATGACTTGAACACACAATTTGTGATCTGAATATAGTTCACAAATTTAAGGAAAGCAACTATTAAAGACATCCAGATCGATGGTTAAATTGTACATGTTATAAGTGACCATAAAATCAAGACAACAATATTATTTTACAATAAATTAAAACATAACCTTTAAAAAAATTCAACATTATCATTTAAAAATATATTTTACTGTATTTTTTTTTGACAGGTATACATGAAGTATGAGTTAAAGACTTTTCAGAAGAACAAGCACAATCCCGATTCATTCTTGCCATTGCCTTCTCCAGACGGCGACATTCAGGACCTGACTTACTTTTCAGAAAAAGAAGATGAATCGATTTTTGAAAGTTGATCTAAAAAAGATAACATTTACATGGGCCATGGATTTGAATTACATTTTCTTGATGGGCAACTAGTTTCAAGTATTTGGATGTCTATTCTCAAGTTACTGCAAACCTTAAATTAACTTCTTGATTATTAGTTAAATGTGAGACCGTGTCTTACTTGAAGTAATCATTTTGAGCTCAAGTGAGCTTTTCTGATTCCAAAATTTGTCCGTTGTCTGTCGTCGTCGTAAACTTTTCACATTTTCATCTTCTTCTCAAGAACCACTGGGCCAATTTCAACCAAACTTGGTACAAAGTATCCTTGGGTGAAGGGGATTTAAGTTTGTTCAAATGAAGGGCCACGCCCTTTTCCAAGGGGAGATAATCATGAATTTGTTAAAAATTAATGGCATTTTTAAAAAATCTTCTCCAGAACCGCAAAAATGGCCGACCCAAGTTTTACATAGGAATATATAGGAAATATCTTCAAAAATCTTCTTCTCAAGAACCACTGGGCCAGGAAAGATGAAACTCATGTGGAATCATCCTCAGGTAGTGTAGATTCAAGTTTGTTCAAATCATGACCCAAGTTTTACATAGGGATATATAGGGAAACCTTTTAAATCTTCTTTTCAAGTACTTCAAAGCTATGATTAGTGTTATTTATATGGAATCATCCTCAGGTAGTGTAGATTCTAGTTTGTTCAAATGATGAATGCCTGGAGGGGGGGGGGTAGTAAATTCAAGCCCGATGTGCTCAGGTGAGCGCTGTGGCCCCTGGGCCTCTTGTTTGAATTGAGATATTAGACTACACTTTTTTTTTTCTTAAAACTTCATTTGATTTAATATATTTTGTTTAAAATAAGTAGCAATAACATGCAAGTTTTAGAGTTATTTGACAACTCACTATATACTTGTTTTTTTTTTTACATCTATGAAGATTGTCTCAAATTTTGAGTTTTTTTTCTGTGTTCTACATTTATTGACATGTTTCTTATCTGTGTTCAACTTGTCGAGTAACTGAAAAGTTTAATTAAATTTTTTTTAACAAATCAGGATCATCTCTTTTATTTATTATTATTAATTTACAATGAAATTATGTATGCTTTTGATGCATAATGTACACTTCAAATTCATGCACAAGCAGATTCAAAGGAAAAATTCTCATTAGAAATAAGCAGTAAAGATAAAGAGATTATCCAATTAAAAATAGTTTGAAAAATATTTAAAACAAATTTTCGAGTATGTTATCAAAATAGGAAAAAGTATTATGAGTATTGTTTGGTATTTCTAAGATTGAGCAAATTCTCAGGTATAATAGCACTGTAGGATTTATTTTAAATAACATTGATTATATGTCTTAACAATTTCGAAAAATTCTGGCTCTAAATTGGTCAAAACATCAATAAATAGTCAAACATTGGACTCGGTTGAATTATCAGAATTTAATCAATCTTTCTCATTAAAAGTAACTTACAAATTGCAACTAAAAATGTTAACTGAATATTTTTAATAGTAAAAAAAAGGATATGACGTACTGGCAATCGCATCATCTCACTCAGGGTCTTTCCGTCAGAGTTCAGAAAAACAACCTCGAATGTATTAACATCACCTGATGTTAAAGGTTATGCTTTTCTTGTTTTTTTTAAATATAGGATAGAGGAAGTAAGAAGTCCCTTTTATAGTATATTTTATGTAATATCATAGC